AGACAATATACATTATGATGGAGATATCCTGAGAACACCATACACGCCGATATTTGACAAATAAATGACAATCATTAAATTTACAGGCGAACCTAGTTATTGAATTTAATGTAAACTGTGAGAACGACTACAAGCAACCGAAGTAGTGTGGATACCACACATATTACTTGGAAACACATTTTAAACCAGTAGTAAACATTACGTGCAAAGATTCTTTCTTATAGGCAAGAGGAAACAACTAAATCCTAGCAAATGTAAACGGATACCTATAATGCAAATTACGACATATTCAAAATGATGAAACCTGGGAAGGAATCAAAACTTTATTAATCATGTACATAATCATATATCAACAGATAAATCCCAACGTTCATCACGTCCAAGAAGTTTACGTTGGGTTCTTACAACAAAACATTAATATATTTGGAAAAAAAAAGGAAAATGCAAGCGACGAAAAGGCCGACATTCACTTGTGTATTAATGCAGAAATCAAGTCAAATTACCACATGTAGGATGTACACAACAGGATATGAAGGTCCATAACAGTACCAAAAATGACATGAAATAAAATATGAAGAAGGCCAATCGCCGTTGCTTCACAGCACTTAGAGTAAAAATACAAATAGTAATTTAATTCCTGCGGCTCAAAGTCTGACTGAGCCAATCCAAACCCTCGCATAGTCCAGAACCATTAGTTGCACAGGTAGCCTGGATGTACCACGTGCGATTGCGTAGGGCGTGAAGCCCTAACTTGTCTGTCACTTCAGCAGCAGACAGTGCTTGCGGAAGATCCTAAACAAATAAAATGCTAGAAAATGCACAATACCTGTTTGTTTGCAAAAACCAGAAGCACTGCATCTCGTAACTCATCCTCATTCAACATTCTAGTCAACTCCTGTCTTGCTTCTCCAATACGTTCACTATCGTTGCTATCGACAACGAAAATGAGACCTGAAATATAGAATTTATTTCCATATTATTAGCATACCCTGTGTGTTCTGGAAATAATGTCTCCACAGAGGTCGAATCTTATCTTGTCCGCCAACATCCCACACTGTAAAACTGATGTTCTTGTACTCCACTGTTTCGACATTAAATCCAATAGTAGGAATTGTTGTAACAACTTCTCCCAGTTTAAGCTTGTACAGAATTGTTGTCTTGCCAGCAGCATCAAGCCCCACCATCAGAATACGAACCTCTTTCTTTCCGAACAACCGACTAAATAAAGCTGAAAAAACTCCACCCATTTTATTTTGAGATGATTGACAATTCCCTTAGTTTTTATATACGCTAAGTAAACGTAACCTTACGTCACTTAGGGTTGAAATAGCCGCAAAATTTCTGTATGGAAGTGTGCAACCAAACAAGGTAGTCTAACAAAGAATGAACATAGCATAGTGCATTACGGTGTTGAAAATGTATCTGATTAAATTTAAATAAAGAATAATTTGAAAATCACTGTGTGTCTGAAAAATTTTCTTCACAAGTAACGATGAACCGAAGTTATGCGTCATCCTCTAGACAGCATAAAAGGAGAAGGGTTTTATTTATGATATAGTCAGTAAGCTTTTAATCTTTCTTTTATCATCATTTTGGCCAACGCAAATTTTCGCACTCATCTTTTCACTCTACTAATGCTGGGTCACAAGCGTAGCTTCACAGAAACTCAGGAACATGTTTTCAAAAATATAAAATTAAAAGGTTATGTCAACGGATGTTGGAATTACCATAATGTCAGCAAGCAGACAACAGTGAACGAATTATTCGAAGGTCAGATTCAAGAATCTGTTTCTTAGCCAGCACTCAGGAGTTACATTGTGCTACCTATCAACAGGCACACTGTTCCTAGAGTCAGATAAGCCTGAATTAGTTGGGCTACTTAATACGCATTTGAGTATATATTTAACAGTCTTTTTGCTGGTTTTGTCGTTTCCAGACTTATCAAGTCAGCTGTGTTAATACAGGGATAGTAGAAATTTCATATTCCATTACCCCTTTCTGGATTCGCCCTTGTGCAAACAATTTGAAATACCTTTTGTCTAAGAGCGTCCTTTTCTGTGACCCTTTCTTGCTGAGCAATTGCTCGGTTCTAATATCTCCAGAAAAACTATATCGACAACGTCGTTACCGCAGTTCCTTTGCTTATTTGCGAGGGAATGCAGGCAGGATGGTAGCTTCAACAGGTGGCCTCATTTATCACACATCCTCTTGACTTCAACAGTATTTAGATGCCACTGCAATTTTGTCCCCCATAGACTGCTGCTGTGTTAAGCCAGACCTCATATGAATACCAAGTGACCTTCTGAGTAGGAAAAATGGCGAGTTCTTAAACACCAGTGTAGTCTTTATCATGGTCAAAGACTGAAAGAAGGCGTTAGACATCCCAATTAAATATTTTGTTGTGTGTTTTGTGGTGCTGTGTTCAAAGATGTGTTTAGGTGAATACTTTCAGGTTGAAGTATGGAAAACTTGATAGTTGATGAGCAGTGTGATAAGTTGCCAGTAACAGACGTATGAATACAGGGAAACACTGAACAGCTGCCGGTCGAGCAGAAGCATTCAGACTTCCACAAAATAAACACATTCGTGTGGCTTCACTGAGATCCTCAGCGTCGTGTGCGATTCGAGAAACAACTTGAGGAGCAGAACCCCATTTGTGTCCATGCCATATCTGTGAGGAACGTCAGTCATTTAATTCCGGTTACATTACGTATACAAGTAGGGTAATTAATGAAGGTTAGGATTTTATACTGATTTCCTTACCCGGTAAATAATACTGTCTCACGGTGTGACATATCTGATAAACAAATTAATATGTACCGCAGTGCCTAAGTCTTACACTTATATTTATACTGATTTCTCGGCCTGCTGTCTGTAAGTGAATTTTATCGGTTACTTCCATTGCTGCAATCTATCAGCCATTTGAAATCTGCCACACTTGGGCGGAATCAACGCGACTATCTGTCTCTTACATTTTAGTAAACAACGGGCATCGGAAATGTAGGTGATGAAAAACAAAGAAGATATAACAACAGCGAGACACTACTTGACAATCTAGATACCGTCATATCTAAATGTAAAGCCTTCAGGCCGGAAAAAAGCTTCCTTTCAACCCATTAAAACTAATGTACAAAACTAAGAAATATGGTATTTACAAATGCAATAGAGATACAGTATACAGACATAGGGAAAAGGAATAGTAATATCGAAGAATAAAATAGTTTTACCAGATATTGTAAGTCACAAGGAGTCGGTGCATCTGAGTTGTCACTCGAAACGATTTGAGCCATATCACCAATTGTCTCCAGCCATTGGTTTCACCGTCCCGAGAATCTCGATCAGGAAGTCTACACCTCCCTATGTGACCGGCCTAAACTAACTGTTGTGGAGTGCACCGACTAATGCCATGTCTTGGTTTGACTACCACTTGACCCTATGTCAGCTGACATTGCCCGTCGAGGAGGGCGATGACTAGGTATACGTGAGAGATAGAACGCAGACACCTATAATCAAAGACAACTTGTTTTTTCATGTGTTCCACTCTCGATGGCCAGTCTGACAGCCATGAAAGAGGACGCGGCGGACTGCTCAGCAGTACACATGCCCTTCGGTTGAGAGCCACCCGGATATCATATCTACGCCAGAAGCGGCGTAAACTGGCATATACAAAACAAGCCTCCTGTGTCCGTCCTGAGATTTCATCAGCGACCATCCTGCTGGCACCGGCTTTACCACTTCACTCCCTATTTCTAAGCCCGAGTCGATGTAGAAAAGCTTGTTTTGAAGGTACAGCAGTGTGGATTCGTCGTTGTTGTTTGGCGTGTATTCCCCAATCGTGCACATATCGAATAGTGGATACTATTGTGCTGTCTCTTCAGCAGTTGTGGAGATGTTGAGGGTCGCTTAGAAACTAGACAGAGAGTGAGGATAAAGGGTGTGCAGGTATTACGGCGACAGCGTATGTCTACCAGGACAGATAACCGATTAACTATAATGAACGTTATTTCTGGCTCATGCCTGTCGGAATCGAGATCGAAGATTGCCAGTAGGCGTAACTAACTGACTTGACAGATCTTCTTCATTGTTCTGTGGGCTGGGACATTGGAACTTCATCACTGTTTCGCTCCTTCTGAGATTTACTTTAGCCGAATCTGAGGTGTGTAGACTCATTTGTTTAGAAGTTATTTTTACTTAGACATTCTTCATTGCGCAGTATGATGAAACTAAGATGCGTCCGAACTGTTTATCATCCAGTGTCATTGGTGAAGTGCTTTTTCATCCTTGACGTAGGTCATAATTTTTGAATGGTGATGTGAGGTCTCTGAATTACAGGATGTAACATGAATGTCTCCATCTCTAAGCAGTTAGCGACCAGGGTTTACAGAACTATGAGACGAGTAACTAAGTGGGCCCTATACCTTTTTTATAGTTGGAAAGTTTTGCTTTCACCACTGAAAGATGAGTGGTGAGTTTCCTCGTCTTATTTGCGCGTCACTGTGCTCACAAAATGCACATCTAGAACAACTGCTTTCATATTACTCCATGCACGGCTCAAGTTGCCGATTATTTTTGCTTCACATTTTGGGTTCCTACTAGTTAACCCAGTTTGTTTCCATGACGCCTTTTATTGCATCATGGTCAGCAGTTATTCATTGCTTTTTGGTCGTTTCCGGGTTTGCATTACTTTATTCATGCCTTCATCATAGGTAAGCGTTTTTTCATTATAATGTCTCATTTACCAGCGGTGAAATCTGTTCCTGAGAATTCAACTTTAGGGGCAACTAAATTAGCGACCAAGAACACCAACTGAACGGAGCTGAAATGGTTCGCCCACTTATAGCATTACTTCGGACAACACAGTTGTAAGTTTAGGAACTTTGAGCAAATGTATTTGTGATCTCAGTTACCTGGTCTCATTAAACGGTGGGGGAACCGATATTTCGCCTTTTCGCCCCCAAGAACGCTTTGCTGTTATTGGGTGTGTAGCGATAAACCACCTCATGATTCCTGATGATCAGAGAATACAACGATCGTCTAATGAAAAGGTCATTGGAGATAGATTCCAGAACATTCTTGAGGAAATTGCAGTAATTAGCAGCAGACAGCACAATGAGAGGTGATATATATGTCAATGTAGTTGTGGATTGAACGATCACTTCATGGTTGTTTGTCCAAACCCAACTCCCCCCATATTTTTCGCGGGAGTCATCAATCCAGCAGTCATCGTCTCATCGTTCGCTGTTCAGTGAAAGAGAGAATATTATCAGAAGTATAATCGTGATTTATTGTTATGAAATTTATTCTTAGACCTTGTGTGTAATAGCCTTATTGCTGATTACATATAGGAGTAAGAATAAAGGATTCTCGAGTCACCAATCTGTGTTCTGGTTTTCGCATTGGTTATTACAAATTGGTTCTGAAGGTCTTCCAGGGACAGCGTGAGGTACAGCATAGTAGGAGATGGACATTGACAGTTTCTGTGAGTTGGCTGATAGTTTCTGATTGTTTCTGTTCGTCTTCCCTTCTGTCTGCGAGTCTTCTTTGGACAAGTATTATCCGGAACGTTTCCGGAATTTTTGGTCAAGTTCAGTGATGCCTGTGTCAAAGAAGGGACAAAGCGTCTTGGGAGCAGACGGGAAAGTAAGTATTGCTGAGCTGCTTGTTAATTGTGATATGATATGTATGATGCTCAGCATGATGAATCTGCTGTTAATGTTTCACCGTCCAGGGATGATAGGAATTTTAAACTACCTAAATATGAACCTCGGTGTTTCGACGGAAACCCAGCTGACTATCAACAGCTTGCAAAGGAGTTTGAAATCATGTTGAGTGGTTTTTTACTAAATGATGAAATGGAGTTAATGTATTTCATGAGGTACTGCACTGGAGTTGCTGCAAGAGCTATACAGTGTTGTAAGTTTATGAAGCCAAACAAAGGATATAATGAGGCTATGAGTATACTGCGTCAAAGATTCGGAAGACTTTCGATGATTGTAAGGAACGTATTTTATGCTGTTAAGGGTAATGGCGGTCAATTACGAGATGACTCCAGGGCACTCTTTGAGTTTTTGGATAATCTGATGACTTATAAGAATACGTTGATTTCGATGAATTGCATGAGCGATCTGAACTCAAGTTCCGTCCTAGAGATAATGGCGAGACGCCTACCCACTCGACTGCAAAGGAATGCTCATAACAATTGCTACTGACAGAGGAGCTCACTTTTAGTCAAATGTTCTTAACAACTCGTTTAAGTCCCTGGGTCACACCGAGTCTGCTGCTCAGCGTGTGACTGTCGAGCCAACTTTCTGATAGGACGCTCTCATCGGAAGCTGGAGTCTGCATTGTCATCTAAATTTTACCCAACTTACATGACGGAATTCATAACGCTGGTAATATCTAGTATGCGAACAACAATGGAAGCTGATGCACTGTGCCTGGCCGCAGTAGCGTTTGAGGCCGCTCTGAAACTGCATAGCGACTTTATTGAACTTACTACCAACGAAAACAAACTTAGACAGGCCAAACATGTCGGTGGACAGCGGTTACAAACTGCTTACTTAAGGCCTACTTCCCCATGGGGGAAATCAAGAGTGACATGCATTCCCAGGGACTTGGATACCTGGATAAAGTTAAACTCTCGACACCACTAATAATCAATCAGCAAACGACCATGGACGGACCAATCAAATTAAAGGGACGTTTATGATAAATGGAAATGTATATTTATAGAAAGAAGCTTAAAACGGTTACCGGGGGTATCTTTCCCTGACATGTGAGAGGAACATCTCCCAGTTAAGCATCGGACGGTCAATAGAAAAGTTACACCTCATTCTGTACATATATCAATCTAAATAACTATAAATGAGATCCTCTTGAGATCCATTTATAGCCCTATCCTATTTTTCAACCTGTCCCAAAATCCCTCAATAGAATGTGTCCTCGTAACGGGATCCACAAAATCACTTGAATGGTTGACTCTGTGATGAATATATCCTAGAGATGACGGGGAATTTTAACCTTTCCATTCGTCCGTGTGTATTATTGATCCCCGTTTTACAAGTCTGGTAATAATAGGTGTCAGTCAAGTCACATAAACTGTCAATTTCCGCCCCTTGCTACGCTGGACCTCACGATGTCCCTCGAAGACTTTCAGAAACGCTTTGTATTAACCAACGCCAAAACCAGAACGCTGGTTGGCGACTCGAGAATCCTTTATTCTTGCGCCGATATGTAACCAACAATAGTGTTATTACAGAAGAAGGTTTCTGATAGTTTTTAATCTTCCTCCTAAACAGCGAACGATGAGACGACTGTCGGATTGATGACCCGCGAAAATTATGGGGAAGTTGGATTTGGGCAAACAACCATGAATTGATCGTTCAATCTTCAACTACACTGACAACAAGTATTAGAGCAGTCGCCTTTCTATCCGCTTTTCTTTCCACGAATCCTTTTCGGAGGGAGGTGTCATATAAACCCATTACCCAAATATTGTTCGCTCACTGGCGACCACGGTTGTATTTCTTTTTTACCTGCACGGTTTCATCGATGTGCACAACAACGTCATCTCCATCCAACAAAGAATTGATTTTCTCCACTTTTCAAGGAGCAATATCTCTGCGATGCTGGTACCATTGAACTGTTGAGGCAAGGCTATTCTCCATCTCAGCAGCTTCGGCTCTCACTGGCTGTTTCAGTACCCAGTAGTTGCAGATATAGAGAATTTGCCTCAAGGAGAGGTTCGACAGTGCAAAATAGCACCTAAGAAATATTAAAAATATCGGCTTAAACTATCTAATGCTACCTCGCTTCAAGCATATTGCACAACGATGGACAAATCCATCAGTTGACCTGCTATAGCTTTTTAAAGTCGTGACACCATCACACGAACAAGTTCGCTGCTTCCGGAGCAACCCTAAATCCAGGGAATACTGGAAAACACTGCCCTCCTCGAATTGCAACCGTAACCTTGTTAAAGTACGCAATGAAATGGATAAGGCGCCATATAAAATTGAACTAACGTTCATGAATCTCACTGAATAATTCGACGTCGTTCGCTGATTGGTAGTTAGTGGTGATTAAAGTTTAACTTGGCCGATTCCTGCACACGTATGTGTGTGGTTTTCGGTAATACACAACTGGCTCTTTGTTCACCATGCAAATTACTATAAAACGTTCAAAACGCTGCGATTAAACTGATCAGTGTCACGGACAATGTCAGTATTTCCAGGTGAAAACCGGTCTGTCTGGACAACGATTGCTCCACTGAAAGAATGACTTAACGGCAGTTGACAGTCCTGATAGTGACATGGAAACTTCAATAACTCGTAGGCGAGTTAAAAATTCCTAATATTTAACCACTGAAAAATCTCCAGGCGGATCACAGAACGAGCGATTAGTGAAATAAACACACCTGAATATATTAATTTACTCACTGTCTTGTAGAAACACCCATATATTTTCCCAAAAATTAATAAGACGTTTGGCTTGTCTGTTTCCTGTTTGCTGGAAGCAATTTTTGGTGATTTCAAAGATACGCGTAAAATTAAGTTACATTTTGGTGTTGTGTTAACTTAGAAGTGTTAGCCACGCTTCTTCATCAGTAAAATGACTTTTGACCCCACAAAGAGTCGTGCCATCGCATGGGTGTGTGAGTTGACCCTTCTTATATGTATAAAGAACCGCAGTGGATACAAACCACGGTTATTACTCTCTTACCAAGTTCTATGTCATAGTAGGCTGTAGAGGACCAAAGATGTCCGTCAAATCAACTGAATCCCAGCCGTTTTGTCTTCATGGGTGAATTTGTCCATATGTGCTTGTCGAAACACATCGTGGCCAATAGTCAAGAACGCGGCGACTGCGTTATTGGCGAACGTGCATGCCCATACTTTTCCACATCATGGTAAAACATACGCCATTTACCAGTTATAAGTGTTATACTATCTTTTCACTAGTTGAGATGCAGGCTGGACATCAGTTTGGTTCGCCGAGCTAAAGGGTCAGCGAGTAGGGTTCTCGAATCCTGAGATTAGCAGGATAGGTGGTCATACCAAAATCGTTAACGTTACTTCTAGTTGATGCCAGCTGGAAGCTAGCTCGAAATTGTTCAAGCAGCCAGAATGGCCAACACCCTTGTATGCGTCAACGGGGGAAGCAAACTTTGATAAGGTTATGCTTACCGAATTTTTACTTTTTTACTGATGCAGTGAAGGTCCCTTCTCGGTGTGGTGACTTTACTTTTCTTCCCGAGAAGCCGCTATTAAGAGTGGCAGACAGATAGGCTACATGACGGCACACAAAGCGAAATGACCTAACCTTGTCTATCGTGAATATCATGTGACTATCTGAGATATTGGTATAAACTCCCGCCACTTCACGTTGACCTTGGATGACTGTTGTATTGTGTCCTTTTCTTTTAAAGCAACCATAATTAATTGCTTATTTCGCTCTCCTCATCGGTATGGTCTTACATAATTTTGTCTTTCCTTAAATGATAGATATTTTGTATTGTTACCTTGGTGTAGTCGTGTCATTTCCCCTATATTTTGAACACACAAACTGTTATCAAGTCAACTCATGTTTTAACTGTGGGAAAGCCTAGACTATATATAATCTGTGCTGATAATGAGAACTGAAATCTGTTGGCAGAGTTAATCTGAAAACCTCTTCCTTCCTTTTCATATTGCTGGGGCTCACGTAGTCAGTTGACAGCCAAACAAATCTTACCTCATTGTTGAGGCATTGGAGGGCTGGCTCATAGCACTCCATCGAATAGTTTATTTCTCAAGTTGCTCAAGTTTTATCTGCTGTCTCACCACTTGGTTCTCGCCTCCATTTAGTAAGTTGAACTTCTGACTCTATCATGGGTGCACCGGTCGCTATTCTAGCATGGAAACAACGGTCGGTCAAATGGAAAACATAAGGTAGCCGCCTCCTTGTGAGAAGCCAAAGCGTGGTATCGGCGTGGCAAATGAGATTTCTGAAGACCCTTTGCTTCATAATATCGAGAAAATCACGGTGAAAAGTTGCTGACGACAAATTGTTGAAGAACTACAAGATTAACTGTTCCATCTAACAAAATGTATCAGTATTACTGTCATTATACATTACTAATGTACGTCTGATGAGAGGTGACTGCTAACAAGCCAAAATTACGAGGAAAAATTAATGTCCGTGTTACCCTCAAAGTCTGTGTCATGGGAAAAACGATAACAAAGTTCAACCTGAAGGAACTCACCAACGAATCACAGCGGACATAACATGTGCAAATAGGAGTCGCAAATATGTGGCTTACCTTTTTGAGAAACGGTCACAAGCAGTACAGAATAACCTTCAATAAGAAGACAACCAATCAGAAGACATTGCTTCTTTGCTAACGATAATGTTCATAAAAATCTATAAGTACCTCCTGAATTTCTCAACAAGCAATCTGTTGTCTGGCTTTGTCTTCTGTCGTTGCATACGAAATCCCTCTAAGGCTCATTCAGCTGCTTCTCGCTTGTCTTCCGTAAGTGTACTTCTGATGATGTTCTCACTTTTTTCAGAAGATTCTTTCTTTAAAATAACCCTCAGTCACGCGTGGATGTGATATTCGTCTGAATATTGGCTGTTTATCGGTTCAGTACAACCACCTGAGGAATACGGATTGAAAGTTGACGTGCCCACTCAAATCTGAAGATGGCTTAGCAATCTAATAATAAAACTCGCTGTCCTGATAACTTGCTTTAGAAAAGATCTATCCAGACTGTCAAAAAGTTTTAAATTTATCTATACTCCATAGTATGAAGTTATATTATGTTTGACTTTGCCTGTGAAAAACGGCACGGTTTTTATGTGAATTAGTTTGTTTGCATGAAAATTACTATTAATAATGATAGTTATAGTGTCATCTACTCGTCGTTTGTATCGCGTGTGACTCACATGGAGGACTTCAATTAGCAATCCATGTGTAACCAAAGGCAAGTGCATTATTATCCTTACAGATAAAGATGAGACGAGCCGATGAATCATCTTGTTCCGTGGCTATGATGTAGGTTGACCTCAATTATTGTTCATGAAACATAAATAATCCATCTGAGCGATATGCGAACTTATCATGTTTGTCTTTTTTGCCCAACTATCCACTCAAGTTTACCACACTGGATATAAGTGCTTTATCCTCTGTATGCGATGTGGATGCCAGTATTGTTTCAGAGGCTTTTACTGTGCCAATGATCGCACAACGAAGTATGCATATTCTGGAGGCTCTGCTCGAATCACTGATCTATATGAATTTTTACCCGACACAATGCTAACTTTCACTAATTATTGTTGGCTTTACTATTCAGTTATGTCCTTATGTCGCGAACTGCATTCGTACATATTTTCAGTTGATTTACAAAATACCGGTGAGCATTTAGTGACGACGGAGAAAATACACCCTAAAAGATTGGTCTGCGCTTCAGATATAATAGCATCGTGTCACGAGATATGCTTTAAAATGGCATTTTATTTGAAGATACTAGATGAGGAGAGAAATATTATGCAATTGGTAACACTTGAAATGCTGTACACTGTATAAACGTTTCCTTCAGAATAAAGCTATTATCACAAAAATTTGTTCCAATCAGACTCATTACTTACAGTACCTTGAGTTCCTTTTCCTACTGATCCCAACTAGAAGTAGCTTTTAAGACTGTTATGTGGCCACATATCAAGAAAAACTTAAATTCCAGCCACACAGATAGTTGATTTCACAGCCTGGACCACTGCAAACAATAAGTCGGTTTAAGGAGGTTCGCAATATTAGTTACCAGATTATCCCTTGGCCCCCTGAAATAAAAGAAGAAACTTGAGAAATACCTTTTAAATACAAAACGGTGGCACAAACAGATCTCAATGCTCACAGGGAAGTTTATCAGATGATGAACACCTAAATTTGGCTTTTAAAGAGTTAAATATCATAGTGGAGTTAGCCTAAAATCCAGATTTCAACTACGAAAGAAGCCTATGCATTATGTGCAAATTTGTTGAAGGGAGTGGAAAATAATGTAGTATAAAAATGATCAGAGGAATATATGTTAACAACCCAAGTAACAATTATGGTTTTTGAACTAGTTTGGGGTTCAACACAATTATAAAAAGGCTTTTATTCCATCTGTTCTACGAAGATAATAATTTGTGATTTCGTGCTATGGATCTTATTTGAAGGGCTGCAGCGAAAAAATACTGATCCACAAGAGCGTTTTAATATCCACCCAAGGCGCAAATTGCAAGTGGGGCGGTTCTGGTAATTGTTTTTATTTCCATATGTAAATAGTCCTAATTTAAAGAAAGCTGTTGCAAGTATTCCTGGTTTTTATCATCTGTGTTCTTTTAAAACTACCCTGTCTTCGTATTCATAACATTTTTGGCATCCTTTAGGCGTCATGAGTCAAAACTGACACTAATGATATAGCTATTCATAAGTACCCTAAATCCTCGTCACCTGGTCCACAATTTCGATGTGATGCAATTTAGTCTTCGCACCCCATGAATCGAATTTGGGTGCATATACACGGTATAATGGTATTCAACTTTTCAATTTCGTAATTCTCAACTTTTAACTTGTTGACATGTTGGTTTTATGATGCATCTGATTCTGCTGTTCGGTTTCATTTCTGCTCCTTATTCTCATGCATCATTAAAGTCTGCATTTATTCTCATGTAGTTTTTCACCAGACTGATTCCTCCACATTCTCTCTAAAACCATATTCTGAGGTTTTACTGACATGTCACTGTACACTACGTGTATATGAAACTAGGACTGAGAACATATCTTAGCAACCTTTGAATCCGGATTTATAGGTTTATAGGTTTACTGTTTTAAAGCTTCAAGAATATGGAGATTGTAGTATTCACCAGTGTCAATGTAATGACTCCGAATTCTTGTTTTTCATTTAAGTTTCATCCAACTTGAATACATGCGTACAAATAAAATTTTTAATAAGCCGAGAGAAAGATTTTCACCCCTATGATAAGGTCAAGCAAATATTGGTAGCCTGCATCTAAATCTAATACGAACAGTGGGTAAAATATTGTTAGTCATTTCATCTAGGATGTGGTATTTACAATATTTGTGGGTTACAGCAAATGTGTATATATGCATCTTTTGGGAGGAAATGTGTCAAAGCTGTTTTTGGCAGGAAATGGTAACATAGAAACTAATAACAGGTAGTCACAGTTGGTGATATTAAAGTGGTTTTCTGTAAGCCATTGTAATGCTAACGGAAAATGAGTGAAATTTTTAGGAATAAATTTGTCCATTTCTCGTGTCAATGATGGATGTCTGTACCAATGATTCCGCTACTCTCTTCAGGTATTTTTCTTTGACTTTCAGATGTGTTAAGCTACGTGATCAATTACATTTATTTTGATTTATCCACAAGTGTTCCTAAAGGAATAACAGGAACTGCAAAACCGATACTGTCATTATAGCTGTAGTACGTTTTGCTGAGTTTTAAAAGCATTGTATGTAGTGTCCCAGTTGTGAATGTATATTTAATTATTCAATTACTAACTGGAGAAATTTTGAGCGTTGTTTCAATACAAAAGACGTGATACTTCTCTATCCCGTAGCCTGTTATCATTCATATTGCTTTCCTAATAATCACTTTATTCTCAACACAGCTGATGACGACTCTTGCTCCAAACGGTGTATATCAGACGTTGTTTACTGGACAAAATCAAGGTCAGTCATTTCACTGTTTTGTAATTCTGCTTGACAATATTCATAGGGCTTTCAACATTTACCTGTGCCTTCTTATGTGGTTTTTTAAAATGTGCATGTTACTTTTACTCATTTGATATTAACAATTTAGTAGTCTCATGATAATAGCAGTGCCATCGTGGTTTTGGTCGTAATAGTTTAGTGTAGATCAGAGGAACAGTAAAAACACCTAAGTATCCTGTAGAGTGAGTAGCTGGTGAGGCTGTTACCCACCCGTCATCAGTCAACAGCTGCGGTTAGGCCAATGAATACTATCTCTAGAAATGCTGGCTGATTGCAGAGAATGTAATAACTCACTAGACTTAATGACTTAATCATAAAAACTGATATGACTGAAGGCAAAAAATTACATTCAAAACGTCACCCAGTAGGAAATACTATTTCGATCGATCGGTTAGTATTACGATTGGGACTTCCATTTATGATTTATGTCGATTTAAGGAAATGCCCAAGGTCATCAGGTTAAGGTAGCGTCAAGTTTTGACCTTCTACCCCAGTATTCTTAATGGTGATAGAATGTATTCAGTTCGCTTGAAGTCAGCAGCATACTAAGAAATATAATTTTAAGAGTAGTTACTGTTAGCTCAAACTGTATTATGTCGCGAATGTGTGTATCCTCAATTATAGAACTTTCGGACATCACTAACATGACTCATGTATTCCAGCTCATTTGATCTCACCTCTTCTTGTTGTTTCTAATTCATCCTGCATGTTGTTACAATGAGTTTCAACCTGAACCGATTCATTTTCTGTGTAAGGTTGTGCAATGACTTTTGTCTGTTTGATTTTCTCTTGTTAAGATATATTTTAAATATCATTGCTTCTTGCAGTGGCTTCATTTAACAATATGCAGTGTCAGTGCTTGCGTTCTTCTTTGGCTAGTGGCACTTTTGATTTAAAAAAACTAACTTTGGTGCATCTCTATTTAGAGAATTTAAAGTAATGAGGTGTAAAACATTCCTAATTTAATCTCCCTTAGTGGATGTATTTAAGACTCCTATAAATCTTGTTGGTAAACACTTTTAAGCCCTGAACTACCACAAATAATTCTGTTAACCTTTTTTAGTGTATTACTCCTTTAAGCTGACAAATGGCTGCATACTATTGCAATCCATTGTAAATGTTTCATCATTCAGAACCAGTTATGCATACTGTGTGAGTGTAAAGACTGATTTTGCCATTGATAGTTGGTAGTGTATTTCCGGATTCGTATTTGTGAAATTTGGGCACAGTGGTAGCATGTTATTCCGCGTTGATTCGTATGCTGGGTATATCATGCAGCGAAATGGTATCATTTATTCGTTGGACACTACCCGACATCTGACAAAGGCAGTGTATGCCAAACTTAGATTTATTTTCGAGGAGTTCAGAAGACTATATTTTGTCACTGTCATAACGCTTTGCGTGCTTTAACTCCACCTATTTCTGAGCCGTCAAAAAACAAGCCAGCTCATCTTCATCACGTTTGTAATAAAACAGAATGTTGCCTTCGGATATCACCAGCAGATATGACACTTTCCTATGCTTTTACACAGTTTCATAAGTCTTAGTTGGACTCATTGATTAGCACAACATGGTTTCTTAGTATGTCATTTTGAGGTTAAAAAACGTGGGGTGTGGGGCATGCGTAGTAGTGCATATTTTGAGACACGTTCCATAGGTTGAAAATATGGTCAGTTTACTCTTGTATACCCCTGATACTTCTTTATTTGCCAGTTTCATTTAGTGATCGAATGACTATGAATTCAAGGATATTCAACATTGAATTAATTAATTGGTTCCTTTATTAATTCTGTAAATTCAATTTATGTCAGGTGGTGACGTCCTGATGAATTTGGACATTTCTAATGCCCATGAAAATCCAGGATCTGAGTCATACGTCCAACAAGTGTGTTCTGTTGTCATTAGCCAAGAAAATCCAATTACAACTGACGTATCAAATGAATTGAAGGTATGTTGAATATAACTGAATTATCATTTACCCAATAAAACACAGAGATTGAAGGATATGGTGCATGAGTAGTTTCTTCAAGTGGTACTAAGTTGTGTTACGCAAGTGTAATACATGTATGTCCAGCCACATGGACACGATTTCTCAAATAGTCAGTAAAGTCGCTGATAGATTTTAGTCTTAGATAAAGAAATAAGAAGTACGAAACTTAGATCCAGTCCCCTGACATCTCACAGTTTTTAGTAGATCGACCGATTAAAGTGTTTTGTGACTCATCGGCCTGAGCACGAATATGCCTCAGGCTCATCCAACTTTCTATCCTCTATGACAAACGGTAAATTAGATCACATTTGATTTGTAGCTCATAGGCTCATATACAAGTATGTATTAAGTGGTGTGCACCAATAAATCTACCACTCTCATTTGTTTCATATTTTACATATGTTACAGTTTTCTCATGCTCATTTCTTACTGAGGCTTGTTGTTTTACTGAACAATATGAATATTCATACGTCACTGAGACTGTTAGTCAAGTTTCCACCAAGTTCGGTAGCAGACTATTTGATCATTTGTGTAGAGAAAATGAATATACGATTTTATCCCATAGTATAATAAGGTCTTCATTTTGTTCAAATGAAGTTTTAGGCTTATTTTTTGACGGTATTTTGTCATTAGATAGATGTTCATTGGTTTGAAGTTTGTTTTCAGCTGATTGTTATCTGTATATGGTAGTTTTGAAAATCGAAGTACTTTGTTTAAGGATTTTGTTGGAAAATATTTGAATTACCAGCATCCTTGAGTCATTTAAACAACAAAAAAGTCACATTGATGTAATAGCCAATTCAAAGTTACGGCGATCATCCGCCTAATGTGTGTACCCTTACCTGTTTGTTGTAGGTATCAGAAGCGATTTCTGGCGGTCAAGGAGGACGATTTGAATGCAGTTATTGTCACAAAAATTACTTTTCCGAATCTAACCTGCAACTTCACTTAGATGTCGCTCACCGAGGTAAGTACTCATTTTTTTTATTAATTAAGAAGTTTACTACTGCTGTTTGATAATACAGACACGGTGCTTTATATGTAGAGGTTGTTTATTCCAATGGTTTGTAAGGTAGTTTTCACTATAATAGACTGACTGAGTTTCAACATAGAACTTGTCACATAAGTGCATCAGTTCAAGTAGCCACACTTCATATACCACATAAAGAAAGAGAAAAGAAAAGAAATTCAAAAGGACTGTAATAGGCGCATATGTGTGGAAGAAAATAACAATTTGGAAAAACATGAGGATTTAATGCATTTACGCAACTGAGAACTATTTCGAGCCATGACAAAAATAATCTCCAGCTGTTGGTTCTGAGCATTCCGAAGACCCTAACCAGGAAGTCTACACCTTCCCATGTGGCTCAAATCAACTGACAAGCTCTTTACGGGTTGATTCCAGGTTTTGCTGTGACTGCCATTCGCTTTTTACCAACCACTGCTTGGTGACGATGGCGATGGGTCGGTATGCACGTGTGTCCTGCCATTTCACTTTATGTGTATATGGCCATAAACAAAAAATAAATACAGACTACTTAAAGATATTTAAGAAATTAAAGTGTAATGTATAATTCTTTCTTTGTACTTTAAAACCTTTTATCAGCGTCTATTTATGATCAAACCCCACAACATCCTAGCCTTCACAGGTTTTGCATGTGATGTTAATTTATTATGAAGACTTTCTTTCTGCAGTTCTCTCTGTCCTTTTTTATGCTTTGAGACATGGCCATTGAAAGTAGAAGGTACGAATAGACCATCTGTCTTTGACCGTAAATGTTTGCTTTCTGTTTCCTGTGTTAAGAGGTATCATATGGTGAGTAATATCGGCGTTAGGTGTAGTGTTAGGTAAAGAGGGTAATTTAATTGGTCAGATTGTAAAGCTATATTGAATGAGATGGTCGGGACACATGCACGCCGAGCCGCTGCCTTCCTCGTTGAGCTGACATGGGGTTAAGTTGGAAGAGAATTAAAAGTGACCAAACCAAAACCTGGCATTAATCTGCAATGTTTTTTTACTGTTAGTCTGAGCTGTCTACATAAAATGTGGAGTGCGTGGTTGCTTCGGTTCCTCAAGGTTCTACGAACCAATGGCCTAGAGACTATTGGTGATGTGGCTCGAAATCGTTCTCCGTGACATAGATGTGCTAAATCCCCATGCGTTTCTATGTTGTTATTCTTTTTCCAGTACATTTCTTCCTGTTACACTCCTTTTGAACTTCATTTTTTCCCTATCTTTATGTGGTATACGAAGTGTCGTGACTTGAACTAATGTACTTGTGTGGTAGGTTCTGTGTTGAAAGATTTATTACACAATAATAGTGAAGTGTTACAATTTCTCCCTTATTCTATTTTGCAATAACATTTATTTTTGAGAAAAAAGATTACCTCCTCCCTCTAATAATACCTAACTTTCGGCAATCTCGTATACGTTGTCAGTACTTATAGTTTGGACCTATATTTCTTCACCTTCACTGAGCTAAGTTATTCAAGGCAAAGTAATTTCACGCAAAGTTTGTTTTGACTAATTCTGTTCCCTAGTGGTATTTGTTAACTGGTTGACCGTTTTCGACATAGTTTAGTGTATATTTCGTGAAATACTAGTTACACTTTCGATACTGTTTTATTAGAGGTTATTTTCTAAGTATAATATAGTTGTTGTATCATGAATGCACTTAAGGGTTGATTAATTTTATGTTAGTATGGTTTCTACCGAGTCATCGTTTTCTTTAGCAATCTAGTTAAATGTGAATAAGAATTGTAATTAATTGCGTATTCTCCAACTAGGTGTAAACAAACTTCGTATTTACTAACAAAATATTTTTAATTATACACTGTTATTTTTTAACCAAATCATTTAATAGTAGAAATAATATCAGGAAGGTTTAGACTAATGAGTCCTCGTAGAGGCTGTTTGTGTTAGTAAATGTCCTGTTATCACGGTAAGATATAATGATCAGTGTAGTCTGTCTCTCTTGTAAACAATATAATCTGAATATAGACTTCGTTGATTCAAAGGGATATTGATCAGTAGCGGCAATATTTATACTTTTTTTTAAACTGATATCTTCGAGTAACTTAAAGTTGTTTCAAGAGTCTGTTAATCACGTTATTTGGTCCTAGGGAAGACGTCTAGAATTTCGGCTGCATGCATCACGATAATCTGTCATATCGTATCTTGGAACTGGTCACCAAAATGTCACTTTGGCTAAAAGTGAGTTTTAACTAAACAGATCAGTAACTTTATCAGTTTTGGACTGGATTAATGAAACGCTGTGAATCAGGGAAGAGCGTGGCTTATCAAAGTTGACACGGTAAATTCTAGTTATTCTTTCAGGTTAGCTAGTAATGTAGGAGATGGTAGTCATTATGCCTGTTTGATTCTAGTTCTATCCATCTGTTGTTTGAATACTAGATACCAAGTCGACCACAGTGTTTGCTAGTCTCCTGTACCTTGGTTTAGTGACAACATTTTAGTCAACTCTTACGACTTAGTTATCCTCAATAGGGACCAAGGGGCGAACTACTGGTATGCATTACCCACTCTTGCTGATAACAAGTCACTTGAATGAATAGCTGGTTTTGGCATTGTATAGCTCACGTTTGAATTTGCAGATACTTTACTCTGCGAGCGCCAACATACACCAAACATATGCTAAACGGCAGATTCAAGGGGCTAACATTTTAACTTGAGTACTTTGAAATGGTATAATGACAATTTTCGATTCACGAAAAATACTTTTAAGTTCCCAGTTTGATTATGGATTGACATCAGTCATAGAACCGTTAAAAACCAGGGAGTACCGGAAAATTGTTAACTCCAAAATTGACAGGAGTTGGAATTCCTGGGCTATTGAGTCGCATCCCAGTGGCCTCTGAGCTCCTCTTGTAGCCGGGAGGCCCTGGGTTCGAACCCCTTTGGGTGCATACTACTGAAGAGCTCCAAACTAGGACGAAATAACTGTCTGGTATATTATGGTTTCTCAAATTCGTGTATGATGCCATGCATACAATGTGTTTGTAATATTAAGATTGAATCACTGAACTAGTGGCGTGTTAGTATTATCATCTATAAATTGTACTTCAAAATCCATCCGGTAAATACTTCAGTTGGACTTTATTTCTAGTGTATCTTTATTAAAACCTGCCATCCTTTTTCGTAGGAAAATGCGGTACTTTGATGTTCTGAAGTTGTTTGGTTATTTTATTACTATTAATCAATATATTAGTCTCAATCACACACCTTTAATGTTGTATATCTACATAATCTCAACCATTGTGTTCATATTAGTCGCATACAATTGAAAAGGTTATATAAGTATTAACTTGATTTCGAAACGGGTAGTTTCGAGTTTACGCATTTCTTTTAGCCGAATTGCTGTCTATTAATTTCAGAAGTGTTTCGTTGTGTTCTTTTAGAAACTCCTGAAACTTTTTTCAGGTGATCTGTATTTATTACTTTCTAAAAAAGATTCTGTAAAGAACAATTTTACAGTAGTAATCTTGTTGCGTGAAGCAATGGCGAAACTTTTAAACTGAATTATTTTCTGGATTAATGTTATTGGGAATATTTTTATCTTGTTAGACGTGTTTCACACCAAATTACAGCTCAGGGAGAAAACTAGTCCTGTTTTCTGGCGGCATCCCTAGGTTAAAGGCACATACCAGTACTATCAGTATCATTCGAATGCGCTTCATATTACTTGAATAATTGTATCATTAAGAGGAACAAATATAAGTAAAAAGTGACTTTTTACAACTCCTGTTTAGGTTTTTATCTAGAATTTTTAACATTTGAGTACTTGGTTTGAGTTTCTTTGTTGGCATTTGTTTATTGATTAATAGGTTTGTATAAGAAATTAATATATATTATACCGTTAAACTTGAAGCTAGTGTTTTGTTAAACACCGGTTTTGGTAGAAGAGCATAAAATGTGTAAGATATGCTTTACTCCGTCTCCGGTGGGATGAATGTTTCCAATATTTAAGATTGATAAAAGCTTAAAAAACATCAGGATGTGATCGTTCGATTTAAGAAGGCTTTAAGGTTGATGTATATGAATCACTGGCTAAGTTAACTTAGCTATCAGTTAGCCAATAAGAACTCAGTATACTCTCACCAGGTCAGGTGAGACATCTTCCTGTGTGTTATACAGTGTTTATAAGATTCTAGGGTTCGTACTCGTGGAGCTCAGAATAAACGAACTTGGAAAAAACAATGCAGATTTCAAGTTCAAACGGCAACTAGAAGTGTCCATGATGGTCTGTCAAATATCACTGCTCTGTTTCCTTTTATTCTAAATATAATCTGAGCGTGAATGCAAAACATCCATTCGATATTTGCTAACATACAGGAGTGATATCTAACTTACCGATTATAGGGTGTGTGTATCGTGCAGACATCCATATTATTCTTTCTTATGAATAAGACAGGTGCGAAAAACAGAGGATATGGATAGGTTTATGGTTTTCGACTCTAGCTATCACCGTTCAGTCTCTGGTATGTTCAGTAATGATGAAGTAAGGCGTTATTTCAGCATTCAGTCAGTATTGTTCATGTCAGTCGATACTTTGCAAATGCAATTATGTAATGTAGATTTGCTGTTGCATCAGTCACACTGTACAGACGAATGAATTCTGACATACAGCTGGAACCATTAGTGCAAGATCTTACATAAATGAGCTTATACAATAGCAGTACTCATAACACAATTTACTCATTATCGGTTCATCTAAAATCGGCTGACTTATTAATATACGTCGAAATAGTAAGAACTCAGCAGTGAGGAGAAATAAAATGACTACTTTTAACTGCATGTCTTTGTGGGACTAATTATTTGGAGTACAAACTTAATATTTTATGAGGGCGACTCTTACCTTTGCGCTAGTCATGGCAGACACATGTTTCGCTAACGTATAAGTAATCGATTTTTCGGGGTAAACAGTTCGCAAGTGTGTGTTCCATATG